AGATTGAAGTTTATCCTTGGAAAAGTGCCTATGTAGGCTATCAGGCTGACATGACCAGAGTGAGGTAGATATTCTCTTAGGCACGGAAATTATGAAAATATGTGATTCAAAACGAAACGAAACAAAGTGTCTGGAAGAAATGTCAAAAATAGAACGAAGTGATATAAACTCAATTTCCCCTACTGCTGGTGAGTAGATTTTTTTTTCATGGATTGGATTTTTTTTTTCATGGATTGGATTTTTTTTTCATGGATTGGATTTTTTTTTCATGGATTGGATTTTTTTTTCTCTTACGTTTCGGACACTGCTTCAGAATTTAAGAATATTACTATAAGCCCATGAGGCACGGTGGCAGAGTGGTAAATCGTTGGTCTTCCTAACCCGTGTCCGGGGTTCAAATCCTGGTGAAGACTGGGGTTTTTAATTTTGGGTCTTCGAGTGCCTCTAAGTCCACACAGCTCTATTGGGTACCTGACATTATCCCTACCAAGATTGGGCCCCGCGCAATCCATTTCGCATTGGGCCCCGCATTTGTTAGGGCTGATGCTAATTGTTCTTTTTTTATTTGGCCGAGCTGCCATCTCATTTCCCCGATAACCCAAACTTTTCAACTTAAGAAAACACAAATAAACCAAGTTAGGCGGCAAGGGACGTCAACGGTTCAGAAAAGTTTACGCAGACGTTAAGTCTTTAAAAAATTATGGGATATACGTAAAATCCTTTTAACCAGTCCATTAAGTAAAATGTTTATATCAGTGCGAGTGATTTATTGTCAATTCTGAAAATCTAATAATTTTTTTAATACACGATTCTAACTGGGCTGTGCTCCTTGTGCATGAACGGGTTGCCTGAATCAGACAGGAAAGCCAATGACTTACAATAATTAAAGTCTCTAGTTAACATGCACGCGTAGGACGTAATTATCGTCTGCTAAGAAGAAACGTCAGTAATGTATAAGATATGAAAAAAAAGCGCCATAAGTTCACAGAACTGGACAGCGCCCAGGTCAGGTCATCGCGCGTGCAAGTCTGCATGAAGGGAAGATGTAAACCTGTGAAGGTTTTTTAACAAAATTATTTTAAAGCCAAAAAAAAAAAGAAAATGATTATCTTTCACAAATCCGTATCTGGTGGCACATAGATCTGGGACAAACGAGTTCCTGCCATTCTGTGTTTGCAAGGTGTCCGACATTTGACACCGACGAAGTGCGAGGCTATCGGCTGATCAACATCCGCCGAGTATCAACACACAAATAGAGATGGAAGATGAACTCACGCAAAGGTTAATGCCAAACGCTGAAGATGTCAGGAGATTCCCGTTTACTCTCGAGAAACAAGGTGTCAGAGGTCACGTGGTAGTGGTAAAAGAGCCGTGGTCGAAATCGTTGGAAGAATGAACTTTTAGGGTCAACTGTTTGAAATGAACCGAGGTTGCTAGGAATAGAACAAAGCTCTGTGGTCTAATGATTTATATAACTCTAGGCTATTTGGACGGCGGCGAGGTGGCTGGGGGGGGGGGGGGGGTAAAGCGCTTGGCTTCCATACCAAGGGATCTTAAGTTCGAATCTCGGTGATTTTGAATTTCGAGATTTTTAGGACAAGCCCCAGAGCAGTGACGTAGCTAGGAATTTGCCATCATTTGAGAGCCCGGAGGGAGCTTGACCTCATTGGGGGGGGGGGGGGGGGCGCTACATTTTGCGTAATATTTTATATTTTATTTTATTAAAAATTGAACACTCATTTGAAGGCCCCCTCAAGTGGTGGCCGGGGTATTTTCAAATTACCCCCCAACCCCAACCTAGCTACGCCACTGCCCCGAGTTCACCCAACTCTAATGAGTACCTGACAATAAAGCCTGACATTACTTTGGGGAAAGTAAAGGCGGTTGGTAGATGTGCTGGCCACATATGGCATCCTCGTTTACCGTTGGCCAAAGAAATAGACGATGGCTACACCATCTGTCCAATAGATCGCAAGGTCTGAAATTGGTACCTAAAGATGTTTAGCAGAGCTGTTGTGTTTCGAACAAGTTTAGTCATATCTTTTAGTCCAGTGTTGTTCTTTTTATAATTTTCTTTAAATGACTGGAACAATACAATTTTAAACACTCAACATTGATCTAGTTGTGAATACATAAGTTTTGTCTTCGAGTGCGAAGAATAGTGAGAAATGCAGTATTTTCCGTGGCTGCGCAACCCCACCTGTGACCTACATATTTTGCCACATCCAGGGCAAGCATAACCATTGTCCACAGGTTTTCTTTTCACCGTCTGCGTCTGTCCTCGGCAGCGGATTCTCTTTTGGTCTCAAATGTGTATCCCGCGGCCTTTGTGAGTGACCTCCGGCTGTCTCGTTCTGAATACTCGCGTTTATATTGAATCCCTTACAGTTTGAAAAAGAGTTACGCATATAACAATCTATATATATAGGTCTGTGATCTGATCATTATCGGATAAGAATTTGTTTTCGTATTCCAGTCTAGGTATAATATATATATAGGTCTGTAAATAATATTTTTGCACATTTTTAGAACTGCAACATCAACTGTCAAGCATAAGGATATTTTTTTTAAATTTATAGCTCAAATCTTATTATTAATTGGGTAACAATGCACTTAAATGTTCTTGACATTGTTTAGTTCATCGTAAAAATCTCAAATATGGGTCTAATGTAAAAAACAAAATTAACTCCCAGCTTTCAGTGTAAAAGTCGAAATTTTGAGAAAGTCAAGAATTCCCAATAAAAGAAATATTTCAAAGAAACCCTAACTACTCCCCCCTCCCCCTAGCAGATCGGGTTCTAAAAACTATGCCAAACCATCTTTCTCTTGGCATTGGTGCACCAATCAATGGCCGCTGAACTTTAAAAACAATGGAATGTTCAATCGGCAGCGCCATGAGGCAAGAGTGAACAAGAAATTGGTTACTTACCACAAGGGCGTAAACGGCTGACGTTTTTTTTTTTTATTGGATTGTCTCCCTGCTAGTCTGTTGAGTTCACATCGTTAATTGAAATTAATTGTAACAGCTATGTTACGTTCATCTACTCGATTTTAAAGCCTGATGTTAAAAGAAGATAGTAAAGAATTTATATATCCCCAGTATTGGAGTTTCTAAGCTATAGCGGTTAACTCTTTTGGTGTATCCGGTGTCCTCAATATATAAAGTGGGATATTATTCTATGTAAAAGTACTATGCATAATTGATTTGAACGTACCAACTTTGGATTCACATTTCTAAGCTACTTCGCTTGTAGCGGTGGTGTCCCTAGGGGAGTGCCGGGGGAAATTCCCCCCGTGAAAAATTGCATTTTTACAGTTGCAGACGCCTGACACCGACCTTAGTGACGACTAAAATAGCACAATAATTCTTATTGTTTAGTTGGCAACTGCTATCTTTCCTTATGGTGTCCTTGACATTGTTTAGTTTATTAAAATCTGTCCATAATTTTCCTCTTTTCGTTATTCTTTAGGTATCATTAAATCGCCTCCACATTTCTTCTCATTGCTTTCTCTTCGTTTCATATTACAGCAGTGTTTCTCAAACTGTTCCGGGAGCCGCCCCACTAGAAGACACAAATTTCGCTCGCCCCTCCACATCCATTTTTTAGCAGCTGGAAACCTAAGAGTGAGGTTCATGAGTGTTTTAAGAATACAATGAGATAAAACCAGATTACAAAGACAGTTTGTGTGGAAACACAAACTCAAAATCGGCCCCCGAAGTGGTCCACCCAGGCAGGTAAAAAGGCAGGTTTCGATCTTTTCAGAAAGAATATCAGAATGAAATTCATTCAAAGGCAAATGACAGAGGAATGGAGAAAGAAGGTTGACCGATCTTATGTGGCGCCCCAACTGTCCAGCAGAAAAAGGGATAGGTGAAAGTGAAGTTCGATGCGGACCTGGCCTAATTGATCTAATTGTTTTGTAAAGGGTCTATCTCTTATTCAAAGTCTTAAGAAGAACAAAATCCGTAATCGTGGAGGCGATTTAATGATACCTAAAGAAACACGAAAAGAGGAAGATTCCTTCGCGTTCACTTATCTGTTGTTCTGCTGGACATTTAGAGACGCTTCAGATCAGAAGACTGAAACGTAAAAGTAGTAATAATACATAAACCAATGAACCATAATTACAAATTATTTACAAAACCTAATAAAATACTCAGAAAGACATAGTTAAAGGAGGATTGCTTTTTCCACATGCCAGCACGTTATATATGATACCAATTCTTCCTTAGTGCCATTAGACGATATAATGGGTTGCCTGAATCAGCCAGGAAAACCAACGAATTAGCAGAGCTTAAGTCACTCGTTAACATACATGACTACATGGACACATGAAACGCGTAACGTCTGTCATTTATAAGATAAGACAATAGTGTATTCTCAGCAGCTACACCTCTTCCGTATACACACAAAGATCAGAGAGCTCTGAATAAACTGCACCCAGTAGTTCAAAGGTAAGGGCCTCTACCTGCCTGACAGAATGAACTAAGTAGCTGGTCGCTAAGCTATTTCCTGTAATTTTTGGGATCGCCACCAGAAAATGATGTGAGCATGAGGAGCGTATGTAAATATCCAAAAGTGCTCACCACAGGGAATCTCCGACGCGCATCTGTGGACATTACTTCGTAGTTGCCTGCGCCAAAATTGTGCTTACTTACCGTGACCCAAGACTGACAAGGGCTACTATAATACACATGTACTTTGTTGTTTTTCACTTCAGAGTTATCCTTTCTGTACCATCGATTAGAAATGTTCAATAATAAAACTCTTTATTATTCTAAAGTTTTTTCTTCAGCCTTGAAGTACTGTGGCAGAGCCTAAACTTGCTACACGGGCGCTCTATTTGGTTCTTCAGCGCCCCAAGCATGTTTGGGTGGCCACAAAAGTGTAGTAAACACACACTCCCCCCTTACCCCAGTGGAAGGAGTTGCTCTTAAATTTCTAACTTCCTTATGACACGAATCAAAAAGAACTTTAAAAAAAAAAAAAAGAAACAATATTTTTGCTGTACAATAACATTTCTCTTTTATTTCACCATCATATTTTTTTTCCAAGTTTTTGTTTTTAATCACTAGAAACAGTTTCGTAATACAACACAAATATAAACAATCTGTAATGTCCAATAACTACAGCAGACGTGGAGACATAAAGACATGTATATACAACCAACTGAAACAAGTCTTTACAGACGAAACACAAAGAGTTTTTTTTTTTTTTTTAAATGCTACACAGCCTTTAAAATAGATATCACTAAGAGAACGAAACAAATAAAGTGTTTCAAATGAAAGTGAATAACACAGATCTGAATGTTGCTGTATCTAATGATATACTTGTCATGGACAAATACAGGAAGGAAAGGAGGCTTATGGGCTCGTCTACAGCTTTATCCAGGCGAAGGGCGCAGGCCATTATATAATGGGCTAGTTACAGTGGCGTAGCTAGAGATATACGGGGGGGGGGGGGGAGCTTGATCTTACATTTTGACATTTAACATCATGACATGAGATGATGTACTTAATTAATATGTAACTTAATAATACATGTGTACTAAATAAATTTATAACTTAATAATACATAACACATGTTACTCCCTGAGAGTAACTCCGCAAGGAAAGAGTTAATCTGTGTGGTAAACATGCAATAGAGTCACTAACCTTTATATAATAGTAAGATGACATGGCAGTGGCGTAATATTTAATGTAAAATAAAAATACTCAGACACTCGTTTGGGGGGGGGGAGGGCCTCCTCAATTTAAATTTGACGTCTCCTTTCAACCGCCCTAGCTACGCCACGGGCTAGTTATATACACGTATTCATATACTTAGTAGTATAATGGAAAAAGAAACAAAAAAAAATCAGGAGATGTCAACTTTGGTTATAGTCAACATTTGAAAAAGTCACGAAGGAATTATAAATTGACTTCTGAAGTGATTTGGTAAATGGTTGGACTAAAATATTCCCCCCCCCCCTTTCCTCCTTCCCTGACTAGTGGGAATGGATGTGGACTACAAAGGAATGTACACATGTTGCCAAGAGACAACCCCCACATAAAAAAAAAGGTAAAGTTATTATGTCTGTATTTATTGAAGGTATACATATAACATGACCAATTTGTTCACGATCAAGAAACAAAGGGAGCTAAGAGTTTGAAGAACTAAAAATAACAAAGGGAAGTAATGTTAGTTATTTTTTTTAAGTACTTAATGAGGAATGCAGCGTGGTAGCTGGAGGAATGATTCGTTTGAGTCAATGAGTGTTTCTAGAAAACAAAAACACACTGAATGATTCGTTTGAGTCAATGAGTGTTTCTAGAAAACAAAAACACACTGAATGATTCGTTTGAGTCAATGAGTGTTTCTAGAAAACAAAAACACACTGAATGATTCGTTTGAGTCAATGAATGTTTGTAGATGTTTGTGTGCTGGCTAGGAAAGGAAATATCAATCTGGAACTTTAATTTGGTGACTTATTAATACAGACATCTACACTACGATCATTCTTTGAAAATAAATAGGTGGCGAAGATTCTTAAAACATCTCTATGGTCATGGGCCTTTATGCTACGTAGAGAGGCTGGAACGCATCGAAGACATAGTCCCTATATTTTATTTTGGAAGACAGATACATTTCTTAAGAAGTGGAGCTACATGCTAGTGGGATGGGCGTTTTTCAGCATTGAATTGCTAACACAAAAGGTTTCATCTCGATTACCTAGGAAGAGACGGAAATTTATTTTATAGGGATAGTTGTTATTGTTTCACGAGTTTCTGGACATCCCTTCAGAAATGAAGATGATTACATCCTCGACCAAACTTCCTGCCGGACAGCAGGCGAATAGAAGCAGATGGAATTCGAACTTGGGAGCACCATCATAACAGTCTGAAAGTACATCACACGACCAGACAGCCATGGACTTAAACCTAGATGATTAGGGATTAGGTCAGCAAGCTAGCCACATCACATAAACATTTTGGACTACACTGAATGACCAAGAGAGCTGTTAAAAAAGAGTGTATGCATCAATTACCTTCTGAAGACAACATGCCCATTTCTATCTGAACATAAAACAAAATCCCAGGACACTCTTGTTACTTCACATAGCTTCAAACCTACCTTGAAACTACGTGGGGAGGAAAAGCCAAAGGTGAGATTCATACGCAGTCCTAACTAGCCAAGATCTCACCAACATAGACAAAATTAATAAAATTAACAATATACATTTCATCTGTTCTCTATGGAATGAATTTCTGACATTTGATAAATAAATAATCATAAAAAATCACAATATATGTTGTTTAGCTACCGGTATATGGTTTGAAAGCAAAAAAATTAGGATCTGTATAAAGAAATCAATAGCATAGACATTTCTTTATGAGCAATCAATTACACAAAAGAAAACTGAGAAACTATTGCTCATTAAATTGAGCTCTATTATTCTAATCCTTGGAAATGTAAATACCAGTTGTACAAGTTTGTTATTACATGACTAGAGATCTTTTTTTATGACTTTTACATAGGTCATGCTAGGAATAACACTTTAACACAATTAAAAAGGAATGGAACAAAAAATATGTTTACATATAAAAAAAAAAAAAAAAAAAAAAAACAGCAATTCTGGCAAATTTTCTAATTCTAGTTTCTATTACTGAGATTCTGTAAACAAAATTAATGTGAAACATGAGAGCTGTTTAGTATGAGATTTCAAGTGGTTTCGAGAGGGGCGAGGGTGAGGCGCTGTTGGAAATGAAAGCAAAAGTTGTTTTTTTTTAGTTTTATTTTCATGGAGTGTTGCAACTCTTCCAATTTTGGCTAACAAAACTTGTTCAACTCAAAAAACTGGCAGGGCAGCAGACATCAAGGTTTGTATGGGTCTTCAAATAACGTCTATCTACAGATTGTCTATTAATGTAACTCAAACCAAAGGTAAGGGGACTGGGGAGGGAGGGGGGGGGGGGGGGGGTCTAAATAAAAGTATGGAAAATATATTCAAGAAACAGATATAGACAAATCCAAAAATTGTGGTACATTTTTAGACTCTGGTAATAGAATTAGACAAATGATGTATGCATTTGTTTTTACTCAAACCAGACAGAAATGGGCTGACTGATCAAGTTGTCTACCTCAAAAACAAATGCTGTGAGTTGAAAGTGAAATAATACAAAAATGTCTGATTCATTACATTGTACACCACATTAATGATCACAAAACTTAAAATTAAAGTTTGAGTGTCACAAAGAAACCACATCAGTGTTCTACTTGAAACTTGTAGTTGTCAACAAGTATTTTCAAATAATTAGTTATGTGCACAATACAAATAAACAAACAAAAACCTACATGTGGACATAGATATTTTTTTTTAGCACAAAACACAGTTTTTGGGTGGACTATCTTTTAAAGTTTCAAATTTCAATAATCATGCGTTTGTAATTTTTCAAGTGGGACTTGATTGATAATATGATTTCGACTTTGCTCACATTAAAACTAAGAAACCAATAAGGAAAAAAAATATCATGTTAAGACATCAAAGTTATGTGAGCACGTTTCTTGGAGTGACCAAAAAGTATTAAATGTACACATTTGCAGTTCCAGTTTCTTTTGTTGGTGTGCAGTAAATAAATCTTCACAACTTTGCTACTTACAAATAAAAGTGATCTATAATGCAGTGAGACACCACACCATAAATTTGAAAAACAAATCTTCACAAACAGAAAAAATGATTGCACCAGACCACTCAATAAATATCGAACAAACCTTTACAGACACTATATCAATAAATGTAATTGTGGTTTGGATAAGGGCAACAATTAAACAAAAAAGAATGGCTCAACTTGATGTTAAAACAAACAAGTGCCAGATTTAAAATCCACTCTTTGCAACATTTGTAGCCCCTATAAGTGTACATAGTGTAAAAATACATTTTCTAAAAATATTCCACGCAACAAAAAAAAATGACAGAAAAAAAACAAACAACAACAAAAAAAAACTGCCGCAAAATAAGTATTTTAGAAAAATTATTCAATTCTTTCCTACATCTATTAATAGATCTAATATAAAATTGACTAGAGCTTTGAAAGACATATGTTGTTGCCTTTTCTTAAAGTAACAACCAAATAAAAAATTAACAAAAAACAAATGAATAGAAATGATTTTAAAAGAATGAAACCATCTACAATATTGAAACATTTGAGCAATGTCCAAAACAAATAAAGATGATCTATGTTTGAAAATAAAAAACCAACAAAAATGAAATCTATGAACAATTCACTATATATTTACACTGACACACTTATTTGTTTCGTAAGTTTATATTTTTCTCAAATACTATATTTTAGTTTAAGATATGTCATAGCAGCTCGTCTGTGAGTTGTTACAATAAAATGCTAGTTTTTATTCTTGTATCTTGTTCAGAAAATAATACATTTTTTTTACCCCAAAGTAATAAAATGTTAGAACAATTTTAGGTATAATATTCATATTTCACCTAACTATTGGTTCTATCATAACCCTAATTCAAGGGACACAATTTTGAAAAGGACAAAAGATGATGGGGCCACTCAATCTTATTTCAAGCCCTGGTAGATCACAAGTCCCAGCTGAAGAGGTGATGTTTGACCAGCATGTCCTTGACTCCCTCCTTGAAAGGCCGGAATGAGTCCATCTGCTTGGGGAGTTCCCAGTCACGTGACAGACTGAAGGAAAACTGGCTTAATAGCCTGCAACATCCAAGAAGGTTTAGCAATATGGAACAGTACAAAAGAAAAAAGTTTCAAATGCAGTAGTGTTATAAAAAGAAGCCATACTTAAAGTTAATTGTAATAAACTTTGAGGAAAAATGTTAAATGCCCTGACAGATGACAGGGTTACATAGAAATGTCTACAATTAATTTGAAAAAAAAATTTACTAAATATGGCTCATAAATACTGATGCAGACTTTTAAATCAGGAGTATGTTAGAGCAAAATTGAATTACTATTTATGGAAAATCAACTGAAAACAATATGAATATATTAATGGATGGAACATATGCTTCTTAGAACAACAACAAAATATTTTGCTAAAGAAATAATCACTCCGCATTAATTATTCTAAAATAAAAGCCAACAATATATACAGCTCAAATGGTAACGTCATCCAATATAATCAAGGCACATTAACTCCCTTGTTTACAATAACAAAATAATTACTGTACAATCCTAATTACTTTTTAATGAACTAAAATACCGAGCATTACACTTTTGCACTATGGGATTGCTTCTGTTTTGATGAGCATAGCCTTGAACACAATAATAGAGTAACTTGAATCATTTTGTACAGACATGTACTTTAAAAACTGGAATTTTTAGACATGAAACAAATTATCCAGATTAAACAAAAAGTTTATTCAAAGCTAAAGTGCAATGACAGATGGGAGAGAAACAGTTTCAGGAACAAAACTTAAAGCATCAAAATGAAAAAATAAATC